CACGTATGAAAACATAGCGCAAAAATAAATTTAGGTGAAGTGGTGACATCTCACCTGTTTTCTCACCTGTTTTTTCACCCACTTGAATTCATTGCTTTATAACTCTCTTCCTTTCTCCAACTCTTCTAACTTCTTCTTAAGTTCAGCAATGTTGTCCTCATGAAGTTTAATCTTTCTCAAAATTCCTTCTTTATCTAATGGTTGTTTTATCTTTCTAAACTGAACTCTACCATCCTTCATAGTATGAATGTAAAAACCTTCTGGAATAGTTCCTGATTTAATGTATTCTACCAAAAACTTTTGTTTCATTGCTTCAGTGACTTTAGTCGTCATTTCAATCAAATAAAAATTTTAATATTAAATAAAAATAACGTTATTTTTTCAGTAAGGAAACGCAGGAGTTTTACGATTTATTTGAGGAGTAGGTTCTGGTTTAAATGTTGGAGTCGGTTTAGGAGTTGACTTTTGAACAGGAGTTTGTACTTTCATAGGTTCAGGAGTCATTGAAGGTGTTGTTTGTGATGGTGTCGGAGTTTGTTTAACTTCAGCTACTTCAGTATTATTTACAACATTTGCTTTATTTCTTTTCAACATCATAACTGCTCCTGCTGTAGCTAGCAAACCTAGTGGGAGACCATATCTTATATAAGGACTTGACCAAATGCTATTTTTGACAGGAGCTGGTGGAACACCTAACCTTGGTGAGACTGCTCTTTGCCATTGTGCAGCTCGTAAGAAATATTCAATAGGTGCTCCATAATCGTTTGGTAAAGTTTGTTTCATAGATGGTGAAGGTTCACGAGAGCTTGATGAAGAACTCATTTATAAGCTTTAAAAATAAACGTTCATCCTTTATTCCTCACTGTCGTCCGTGCTAAGTTATAGTCATCTAATCTTATTATTGGGATTCCATTAGCACGCACCTGAATGGCAAAGCAACAATCCCTCATAAATCCAATAAGTGGCTTTGGTACATTTTCAGTTGCTAGTTCAATAGGTCCTTTAACAGACAATTTGTATGTTATTGGAGCAGTAGATGTTTGACCTTGCTGGAAGCAAAAGTCCACTTCTGTTGGAAAACCACATAAGAAATGTGTGTTGTCATAGCTATCCCATTTATGTTCCACACTACCATCATCCACCAATGACCTCATAACATCTTCATTAAATCCTATCATATCATTGTTTGTATTGCAAGCGTTCGCAACCATTTCATAAAATACAGGTCCATATGATTTTTCAGGTTCTGCAGGCATATTTCCATAAGCTCCCATGGAAAGCTGAAGATATTTAAACTTAGGGTTCTCAAAATTAACATAATAGTTGTCTTTCTTTCTAAATAGTGCCCAAATACTTTTAACATTAATAGGCGTATAAGCTGCTGTAAATGTTGCACTTGAACTATCTGTATTCTTTGAGAATGAACCGTCCATAGGAATCCAATCCATAACTTTAACAGGAAAACATAAAGCCTCGTTTGTATAATGTTCTACAAGTTCTGTATAAATGTTAGGGTCTAAAGAGAATGACTTTGGATGAATGAAACATTCATTAAAATCCATCTTTGTTCGAAATAGTTGCTGGTTACAGTTGTAATAGTAACTGTTCCACTAGCTTCTACTGCCTTCGTTATCATAGTGAATGGTTCATTCCATGGAACAAATTTATTTGTCGGTGGATTTGAATCTGAAGCAAATGCAACTTTAAGAGTTGGATTGAAAGCAATGATATCATTTACAGATATAGATGTGCATTGTAAGGCGTCGCTACTGAACTTTACTTTAAGCTGAATGTTTCCTGCAAAAGCTGGAATAAATCGAATAGCTTCTAATGGAAGGAATCTTCTAACAGGAATTCTTAAACGAAGCTTAAAATCAAATGATTTTCCTGCTGTAATTGGACCACTAACAATTTGTCCTGTTCTGCATGTTCCCGAATGACTCCATACATCTTCATGTCGAGTCTTTGAGAAAACATCTACTTTCTTTATTTGTTCGGTAGTTTGTGAGTTTGAAGTTATATATGCTTCTTCTCTTGCGTTGTCTTGAGAATATACGATACGACCATTTGCAAGGATTTGATATCCAGCAACTGCATAGAAAGCGTCATCGAAACCAATCCAAAATCCTGGTGGGTTTGTTTTATTGGAACCTGAACCAATTTCTTTATCTACAATAAATTGACCTTCCATTTTATACGTAATGAATGTATTGTAAAGGTCCAACATATTTTCACCAGGAGGTGAGAGATTGAATGTTACCCATGTGTTATCTTTAGCAGTTCCAGGTTGTGATGGAATCTTTGCGTCAGAATATTTTCTATTAGTGTCACCAATTTGAACTGCATTGTCTATGATATCGAAATATGAGCGAATCTGATGAATATGCTCTGCTGGAGTAAATTCGTTTAGCTGTTCGTTCTGCATGTATTTACTTCAGATAAAAATATCTATTTACTTCATTATTCTCACTCTTCTTCTTGGTATTCGTGGTGGAAGTTGTTTCTTGACATTTTCAATGAACTGTACATTCTCTTTTGTCTCAACTTCTTTCACTGGCGGGTCAGGGTTCTTTGACTCGGTTTGCTTTTCAATGAAATTCACGAACTTTGCAATAAGCTCTTGGTTCGTTATTGAAAGAACATCTGGCTTCTTTTCTTCTTGTTCTATTGACTTTTCAGTTTGAACAGAAGGTTTGGGCTTCGTGGGCTTCGCCCTTGCCATGCACCTTAATGTTGTCGCTCTCTGTATTCGCTAATGGTACCTTTCTTTTTCTTACGTATATTTTACCATCTTTACTCTGACTTACGTAATAGAAAGGATGTTGTATTCCTCTGGCGTCATTTAATATAATAGACTCTCGTTCTGATTTTGACAAGCTCATTTTACATCGGTTAAAGTTTTAATTTAGTTTTTTATCTACAGTCAAATGACTCAGACAAGCCCTACGGACAAGACCCAAGGGTCATAGATGTTGAAGCATTGAAGAAAGAAATTCGTGAGCAAATTTTATCCGAACTGAAGGAACAAAAACAAGAACAAAAGCCAGAGAGACCAAAGAGAAAACTTAGTGAAAAACAACTTGCTGCATTAGCTGCTGGAAGACAAAAGAACCCACGTTTGCTGGCGAAAAAAGCTAGAGAAGAAGCTGAAGCAAAAGCTAAAGAAGCTGAAGCAAAGAAAGAGTAAATGGTTTATTTTTATCCGAACTAAATGTATAGACAAATACCTTTATCTGTTGCGTTCAGTAGTGAAAACCCTGACGTCAAAATAAAGGGGAACAGAGTAACGTTTAAGTTTCCAACAGACTGGATTGTGAACATAAATGAAGAGAAGTACATTGGCATAACATCTATGTATATAACACGTGCTTTCAGAAAGGTTGACTTTATACTTCAAGTCGAGATAGAAAATGACGAACAGTCTTTAAGCGCCCAAAACATTCACATATACAAATACTTTAAAGACGATACAACATTGTTGCAATGTATGATTTCATTTAATGAGATGTTCGAGAAAAAGTTCAACATTGAAGTACAAACTTTACAGCCTTTACGTGAGTTTCTTGCACAACTGAAAGAAGAAGGTAGTCAGCCACAACTTATAGACTTTCATTATGAATTTAATGAAAATGAAGATGGAACTCATGACTGTCAATTCATTGTATTCTCACCATTCAATGAAGTCGCTAAAGAGAAAAAAAATCCATTACGTATAAGATTTCAAATCTCTGAACCAAGTGATGATTTTAAGAATGTTTTCAATTATGATGCAATGCTTCCGAGGAAAAATGAATTTTCAAAGATTGTAACACCTGGCATTTGGGATAGAAAGCAAGCTATATTATATTCAAACTTAAGTAAGGGAGTTGAAAATGAGTTCATTGGTCATACAAGAACTTCACCACTTCCTAACCCTAAATACTATAAATTAACTGGCTTCAATCGTGAGTTTTGGATAGACATGTTCTCCACTCATGACCATAAATGTCCAGTGTTCTTGCCTCCAGACCATAAGGACTGTCTCTACATTGAAGCACAACTCTTAAACTCTACCATCGCAGTATTGTAAAATCTACGCTAGCTTTATTTTTATCACGAATGACCTCATTGCTGACAAAAATAAGCCGCTAGCGACGAAATGACCTCAGAACTTCAACTTACGAATAAAGCTTGTTTTAGTCGTTATTGAAAAGTTGAACTTTTCAGCAAAGCAAGGTTGACATGACTTACATAAGTCGAATGCAATCTCTTGACCATCATAAAGTGCTTTGTAAAGTTTCATTAAACTGAACTCAGAGTCTTTGTCATATGTTCCAACAGGTATGTGAATGTTCTTATCTTCATTGTAATAGCATTGTATAGCTTCAGGAAACATTTCATTAGCGGTTAAAGCAATAACATCTTGCTTCACGCCTTTCATTCTGCAGTGAAATGCAACTTCATTTAAATCGTTAGTGAGTAAGTCTATGTAGGTCTTCTTTCCACAGAAAATACTTTTATAAGCTAAACTTTGTTTTCCAGGTGTTATTTCTGCAAAGTCGCTATGAAATTGACCAAGGTTCTTTCCTATAAGTTCGCGACCATATCTCTTCTTAAACTCTGCTGCAAGCTTTGGGATGTCTTCATTATATAAGTGCATACTGTCGGTATCCTGGTAAAAGATTTGAAGTCCCATGTCCTCTGCAGTACAGAATACTTCATTCATAATACGTTTTGACATAGACAGAATATTAACACCAAGTGGACAGAAGTTAAAGTGTCTGCAAATGCTTTTCGTTAGCTTGAAAATAGTTTTATCTGAACCATCCAAACCTTCGAACTTCACTATATGGTTGTAATTTCTTATAGCATATCTTATAGCATCTTTGTCATTTACTATGGTTATTTTTGACTCAATAGGAGATAGAATAGTTTTGCCATAAATGCTGTTCAGAATGAGTTTTATAATTTCTTGTAAGGGGTTTCCTTCTTTCTTATACTTTAACCTTAACTCAAACAACTTCTTTACTTCATCTCTTATTCTCATATCTCTGTTTCCATCGTAATAGTATCCTTGCAACACTTCACATTTGACACCTTGATATTTTATGAGGTCTTGTAATGTTATATGGTCAACATACATGAGACAGCAAGTGTTTGAACTTCTTGGAACGTTAAGTTCTGGATTTAGTTCAGGGTCGCAAACTATTAAATGAAAGTGTCTGGGTATACCAATCTCTGTTATCTTAATGAGAACAAAGAAGCCAGACATAAACTTTTCACCAATGGGTTCCTTTTGGTCATCATCGAATAAATGTCTCATGAGATACTCTGTGCTTAGCATCTCATCCTTCAATACTTTTGGAATTCCTTCTAAAGTATACAATCTTGCTATAGCTGAAGGATATAATGAAACAGTGTCGAAGTCAGCAATGAGTTTCTTTTTGCTCTTTTGTTTCATGTTATCTGACAACATACATCTTCCACCTTGAATGCATCTCGAAATAAATTCTCTTGGTTTATTTGAGAGGTCATAAAGATTTCCATTCGGGAAGTATACTCTGTTCTCAAACAATTTGTTAGCAATAGAACAAATACTAACGTAGTCATAAACGTTTAAATCAAACTCTTTCAATAAGTCATTGCGGAACTTTACAAAACCTTCTCTTAAAATTCTTACATCTTGTTTGCAGTAAAACGTGCTATATTTTTCTAAGTCGAAGTGGTTTTCATCTATTCTGCAACCTTTGATGGAATCTATGTTCTTCATAAATGTATCTGCATCATGGATAAACTTACATGCTTCAGAAATGACACCAGTTCTGTTGTCATTTGCTAACAAAACACTGCTGTAGTAGTTATATGGAAATACTTCTTTCGGTCCTGTTTGTAAGTTAAACATAGCAGGAAATAGTTTAAGCTTCTTATTTATAACACTGTAAGAGTCTTTTATAATAATTGCCCGTCCTTTATATAAGCCAGTTATTTGCATTGTTCGTGAACCTTTAATGATGGGAGTTCCTTTCACTTCTGTCATGTGTCTTAAGATGAAGTTTATGTCATAACTGAGGTTGTGAAAATATTTAAACTCTTGTCAGGGAGTCTTTCCAAAAATTCTGTTGCACAGTTTTGACCCCAAATGCTTTCACTAACTGAACCATCTTCACTGTCATAACAGATGTTAAAAGCTTTATGAAAGCCATCCGTACTACACTCAAAGTCAGCAAAGAAAACGTGCTCAGGTATGAATTTACATTTAGCTTTATTTACTTCTTTTGACTCTGCTTTCTTCTTCAGTTGTACACAATACTTTGGAGCATATGTCAAATCTTTAAATGGTGCAAGGTTCTGTTTATATAAGTCAGTAGTATATGTGAAAAGTTCTCCATAAGAAATAGGTTCGAAATATTTGCACTCCCACAATGTTTTCATAACATCCCATAACGGTGTTGTTCTATCATAACGAACTACATATTTATCTTCTCTCTTTGTATAAATCTTCATCTGTTTCTCAATGTTCATTCCACCACAAGCTTTGAGAATTTCTTTATAGTTTCGAATGAAATATGTTGTCATTGGTAATCTTTCATTTAGCATGTAGTGGTCTTCAACAAGAAGTAAGTCAATAGTTCTAACAGTTTCGCATTCTTTTGGTATATATCTCTTTATTTCATTATGTCTTGAGTCATTGAAATAACCAATGGTAACATTAAATGATATACCTGTTGCGTCAGAAATTTCTTGTACTTTACTTTGAGGAAAGTCTCTAACACGAATGACTTCTCTCATGTGGTCAATAGTTTCTTCATTTACTCCAGCCTGAATGCAAGCATAAACGAAACAATTGTCCTCTGTCATAAGTGTTGCAGTTCTTTTGTTCAGTTCATTGAAGATTTGGTAGCGTTCAAGATTTATAGGTAATGTGCAAAGATACTTCCAGAACTGACCGCTTCTCTTCTTATAAAACTTCTTTTCACCATTATCTTTCCAAAAGCTTTCTATAAGTGCTGGGTTTCCTGTTTGCTTAAGAGCTTCCAAAATGGCTTTCTGGTCATTTGTCAGTGTGCTTTCATCTCTATATGGTCTCTTTTTTGGTTTGCCTTTCTTTACATCTGACATCGTTAAGCCTTCATATTCTGTTAAATCATACATCTTTATTTCGGTAAGATTCTTTATGTTTGTCAAGAAGAAGTCATAGTGCATTTCAACAATACCTGCGCATTTGCTTCTATCTCTGATATAAAGTTCTCCTTCAAGAGCTGATGTAGTAATGTTCCAATATTATTGAGGTTTAACGTAGAACATTCATACTTTCCACCAAGTTTATAACATACCATCCATCTCTGTTGGGAGTTTATTTTAATTTTCTCTAAGAGTCTCATGAAAACCTTACCGAAATGTTTGTGTAAGTAGTCTCTGTTTGGTTCATCTAAAGCTTCGATGTTAAAGTCAATGAGTCTATTGCCTGACTTCACATTTCTCTTCCTATTCTCTTCATCTTTCTTTAACCATCTCTCACCTTCTTTTGGTTTGTCGTCAATGGAACGAATGACATCGTTAGCTTTGCGAACTTGTTCTATAGCACTTTTAAACATCTCTCTTCTCTGTTGTTTCAGTGTGTCATCTCTCTTTCGTGTTTCACCAACGTTTGCATTTGTTATGTCAAACATTTCTCTTCTTACTTCATGTGGTACAGCTCTTCTTGTTTCACCAACGTTTGCATTTGTTATGTCAAACATTTCTCTTCTTACTTCATGAGGTACTGAACGTCTATGATATAAGTCAATAGCAATGTCATTTAAAGGAAATGCTCTTGCATGGACTTCGTCCTCGCCGCGTTGCGGCTTTATGAACTCATGAATTCTATCATAACTTATTGCACCATTGTAGTCATTGAGGATGTCAGCGAGTGCTTTTTTGTTTGTTGCGTAATGCTTTGCAACATCTATATTAGCTTCTGTAAGAAGTTGTTTTATTTCCGAGTGTTCTAACTTAGACAACTTCCGATACATCTTTAGTAGGAAATAAAAAAATATTTTTTGAAAAAATAAACTTAGAAAAATTATTTCTTTCTATATTTGCCATTCCGAACTTCGAAAAGATGTTTTATACCAGCATAGAATTTTTCTCTAGAGCTTGGTCTTATATTGTTTTCATGACAATATTTTCTATATTCTTCATATAAAGCCTTTTTTTCATACATTTCATAAGGACAATCTAACCAGAATAGTGCATATCCAGTTTCGTTATCTAGGTCTCTATATGTTTCTTCTGTTTGTAGAATTTCGCTTTCTTCTATTTGTAGAATTTCGCTTTCTCTATTTAGTTCTATGACTATATATTGTGGCTTAAAAAGATGTGGGCAAGAAGGGTCTGGCGCTATGTAAAAAGTTAATTTTTCTGTCATCTTTTCTATCGGATAAAAAATATTTTTTGAAAAATTAGATTACATTTTTTTAAGTTATTTTTCAAAATAATTTAATATTTTTATTTTAATGAAACACATGCAAGATTGCAAGTTCTTTTCATACAATGCTCTCGCTACTGCCATCAAGAATGAGTTCAATAATGCTTCAAATGTTAATGTTATCTTTAACAAGAAGTTTGTGAAAGAATCTAAGTTTGGTCAGTATGTCAGACCATTAGCTATTGTCATTGACCGCAAACGTTATACTTCACAAGAGTTAGCAGTAGTTTTGAAACAAAAGGGTTTCTTCGTGAATGTCAAAGATACACACTATACTGTCATAAAGAACTCTAACGTTGACTTCTTCAGTATTGCTTTAAATCTTTCCGAACAGAAAGAATATAAGAAGGGTGAAATAAATGTGAAATATTATCCTTCATCTCTGAAGACAATAACGAACAAAGATGTTATACAAAAGTTCTTACCAAAAGTTGAAGAAGCTTCAATTGACATTGACGAAGGAAGTGAAATGGTTGAAGAAATAGACCCTGAAGCTATTTAAGCAAAAATATATTTTTGGTTAGTCTTCCTCTTTGAAGTTATCGAAATATTCTGTTATTTTTTCCTTCAGTAATGTTAAGTCTTCTTTGAATGTAAGTATTGTGCAACCTTTGATGTCATAGTGTGTTTGAGGAAGAGTATTTTTGACAATTTCCTTTATTTGCTCATTCGGTGTCATTGAAATCGGTAAGTTTTCACGATAGAACCAGTTTCTGTCAGATTTATATATTTTAGCAAGGTCATAAAAGCTCTTGTTGTTTCTTCTGACTAAATGCAACATAACCATATCTTTATCTTCTTCATTCTCCATCTCTTCAGCGTAAATCATATACTTATAACTCTTTTCCTTTCCTTTTGGTACTGAACGTGGTATTCTTTTCTGTATGCTTTTGTCTTTGGATTCAATGACTTCATCTTTTGCTTGAAGTTTCTTTTCCATCTCTCCACGTTCTGCTTTATATAGTTCATCTAACATCATGAAAATATAACAAGCATAACGAGGTGAAGCCCACATTGCTACAGCATTTACTAAAAGTCTATGAACATAATAACCTTTCAAACCAGGTGCCAAATTCTTGCGATTTTCGTACGGAATCTCTTCCCTCGGTTTTCCGAGGGAAGCAATCATATGAGGAAATTCTTCTAAAAGTTCTTTTGCCTGTTGGTTTTCAAACCAATGATATGCTTGCTTTGTAGAACGAAGAGCGTTCATTATACTTTGCATTTGGTACATGTCGTCTTTGACAGAACGAATGAGACGTAACTGTTTGTTATATTGTATGTATTCGTATTCTTCATTTATGGCTTCATGAACGATAGCAGTTGTTGTGTTCTCTAATGTTGTCATTGCTGTTCTTACATACAGGATAAAAAAATAAATAAAATAAAAACTAACTTTATTTTTTTTTGAGATAAACACTATTTCTTCACAACATTAAATTTTATCCTGTATGAAATGACTTTAAAAAGATTATTGACTGACTTCGAATACTATCTCATTGACGCACTGACAGACCCTCAAAACTGTGTTGAAAGTTCTTTAAGCTTTAAGATTGAAGGTACGACGCATTTTGTCTTCACTTACGTATTGAAAGAATATGACCGTTATCATAACGAAGTGAATCAAACACTAATAAAATTTGTAGATAAAAAATTGGTTAACAATGAATATTTTAAACGTGAAGACCCAAACACTGCTGGAGATGATGAAGAATACAGACAAGTTATTGAAAAAAATAACGCAAGATTAGATGCAATAGAAAAGAAGTTTAATGAATGTCTTACAAACACGTATGAATATCTTATGCAGTGGGAAGCCAGATGGAAATAAATTTACGTCAAATATGCAATTTATAAAATCTTATGTCGACAGGCTACGTAGCACAGTGGTCTAAGGTGGTGTTATGGAGGGGTCAGGGTCTGTGGTTCGAACCGCGACGGCGCCGTATTTTCTTATTTTCTTTATTTGTCTTGTTTGTCGTGAATAAAAAGTGTCATAAAAGTGCTCTATCTTCCACGGGAATAAATAAAAAATTTACTTTATTTCTTCTTTATTTCTTTGTTCCCGTGGAAGAAGGGTTTTTGCCGTTTTTTCTCAGCCGAAATCAACGATTTTTTCATTTTTGGAATCCTTAGCGAATGAGGAATCTTTTCTCTCGTGGAAGCTTTGACCTAAAATATAATTTAGGTGAAGAGGTGAGATGTCACCTGTTTTCTCACCTCTTTTTTCACCTCTTTTTTTCACAAGCGTTTTACATGAATTGTACGATGTATATTTGAAATCCTAAACAATTTCGTAGCTTCTATTTCTTCTGTCAGTATGTCAAAAGTTTTAACAATACCGAAGGTTTCTTTATACTTCTTCTTGACGTCAGATAGAAGGAAATCTTCTGCTGTTGGATAGTTTTTGTTCAGAAATTCTAACATGTTCATTT